AGAAAAATAATAATAACCCCAATTTATTTTCTTCCTTCCTATCATCTTTTACTACCATTTACCCGGTTCAGGATGGATGTGAGGGGTCAGCCGGACGTGTAACCTGATCCGGATATTTTATCTATAATATACGTATATACCACTCTCACCATGGCCATAATAGCTTCGACGTACGCTGTAACTACGGCGTAGGCATTTCAAAAATATCTCGCTGACGCAAGTTATTATTGCAGGGTTGGCTTGGCTGGTTCCGGGCCCTTTCTCTTCTATCCGACAGGACCAAAGCGTCTTCTTTTTGCAGCCCGAGAGGAGGAGGGTTTTTCCATTAAACTGCTGGAGGGTTACATTCGGATCTGGGGAATATACGCTGTAGATGTTGACTGACCTTCACCTGATTATTTACCTATCGCAAAACTTTTCCATGGGGGATAACGGAACTGCATGACCGAAAACGCTTCGTAGCTGCTGTGTACAGAATACAGTCATGGCTCATGAAATCGTCTTCTTCTCTCCCTTTTTCCAGAGAAAATACGAAAAGGCTCTTTGGCAGCCATATACAAGCCATCGTTATACATAGTTTTATATATATATATATATATATATATATATACATAGTAAGTATCCATGCCTATAAACGGAAATTTTCAGAATCATGTCAGCCAAAACTACGTCGCACATGTACTGTACATTCGGTAGTTAGTTAGTAGTTACGTAGATAGCTGAACCAGACAACAAAGAGCAGCCGACGCCTATTTCCTGAACTCGACTCGACTACCTGTTGACAAATGATATCAGTGGTTACCATAACCAGAGGTCGAACGTCGGCGGGATCCGCAGAGGGCCCGGAATTGAGTTTAGAGATCCGGGGTAAGCAATATTATTACTGGAGAACAATGATATCCACGGTTGCGAATGGCGCCTATCGGATTATTTATTGTTTATTGGTGGTATGTTTGTTTGTTGTTTTGAAAGAAATTCATCCGCTCTCCCTGGATGTCTATAACTCCAGGCAAGGCCGAGAGAGACAAGATATCCGACCAAGAAAAGGTCAAGGAATTAATTTATGTACGAATATAAGATGCCTACGATCGGTAATGGCACAATACTTCTGTCGGGAAGATCACCTTTGGACATGAGAAAGTAGGACGGGACCATCCACGTCATTCATGCCTACTCCCTTGTCTCTCTGGCTAGCTGCCAGTTTTGTCTACATTTTATCTACGTAGTATGGATGGATGATCTGCCGTTATCATGCATGCTGGGCCACTCTCTGGTTACACGACACAAGAGAGTAAACATTATGGGACCTGGGTCAATCGTTCCCGAGGTGGTTCTGGTGTTAACATCATGTTTATTAAAGCTTCATTGCGGCACGATCAAGTGTTCGCTATCACCAGCAGGAAGCGTGATAATAACAGTAAGCACGGCCAAATTGGTATTTAGATAACAAAGCCATAAGCTGGACTCAAAGGGCGGGATAAAAGAGCCGGGCAGGAGGTGATGGTATATCCTGAGTGGAGAACCGGCGCGGCTACAATACAGCTACAATTGGGGACTGACTTGCCGAAGCTAGAGTCTTTGATCACGGAAGTGCAGCAATGATATTTCGAACAAAAGAATCATAACTTCGGGAGCCAATTGATCCTTGACTCCTTGTAATGTTTTCCCTTTCAATTCCTCATCTGGGGGGAAGAGCAATTTCAGGAAATGCGCTCTCGCAAAACTAAGAGGCGAGAACATTACAGAATTAAACGTCTCTTTCCTTTCTGAAGTTGTTTCTCACTGCATTAGCAACTTAAAATTTGATCCAGGAAACTCCATAAAATGCTCCATAGGAAAACAGTGAATGATCCGAAGAGTAGTGAAGTAAGCAGACAAACAAAGATCTTAATCCTCGTCCATGGACTCCCATCCATCCCGACCAATATCTCCATCCCCCTCAGCCACACCCGAGTCATCAGAGTCACTGCTGTCATTCTGCGAAATGCCAATCATTCGCTCCTTCACTTCCCCTGCCAATGAACTCCCCAAGCGCGAAGAAAACGTTCTGCGCACAGCGGCATTCGTAGATGTATCCCAGATCTGTACCACCCCTTTGCTTCCCGCAACCGCGAGGCGGAAACTGACCTCTTGATCTGGCGCAAACGTGGTGGAGAAGACCTTGCCAACTTCAACTTTCCGTGAGACAACCAAATTGGGTTTGCTATCTTGCACGTTCCAGAGTTTGACTTGCTTATCGGTGGAGCCGGTGACAAGGAAGCCGGGGATGGTAGGGTTGATGTCAAAGGATGAAACGGAGGAATCGTGCGCTTGTAGCATCCATACTGGCTTCGTGTTTTCCGGCATAGCGGACACTTGTCGGACGTCGTGGCAGTATACCATCCCACCATCGGTTGTGACGTAGAAGAAATTGGGGTCGTGAGGGTCCCATCGGACGGTTTCGACATCGCTTTCAACCCGCCACTTCGCGGCCTTTGCGTCCGGAGCTCTCATGTCGGCAGCCACAACAGTCCTATCGTAGCTTCCGCTCAACAAGACTGTTGATTCTTTCGGGTGCCAGTCCAAGGCACAAATTTTATCACTGTGGTTGGCATAGGATTTGGCACATTTGGTCGTGTTCAGGTCCCATAACTTTACAGTTTGATCGGCTGAAGCTGACGCGAGCAGGTTTCGATGTTGTCTGTTCGCTGCCAATGCAAGGACTGAGTCCACATGATACTCGTCATTCGCTTTCTTAACCTTTTTCTTCTTCTTCTTCTTTTTCACGCCGGTCTCCGAGTTTCCATCCTGGCCGCCTTGGCCCAGGATGGCGTTTGGATACATGCAATCCACGATATCCAGGTCCCAAATTTCGATATCCGGTTCCATCGTGCCTACTGCGACAAAGTTGCCGTAGGATCTATTTTCTGAGTTCCTGCCAACGGGTATATCTAACCACTCCAAGCACAATGGGATCGCGGGCAGCATGATGTCGTGGTGCACGTAAAGGTTATCTGCCTCGTCTTCGTATACATAGACTTCCAACTGTGCGACCTCATCCTCCACCTTGGCACCCAATAGAAGATTATCGGTGGATAAAATCTGTAGCTCTTCTCTCTCGTCATTGTCGTCGTCGTCGTCAACTCCCTCTGGAACAACCAAATATGGATCCTCTTTTTTGGGTTGGTGGTACGCAAGTGACCTGATATTGCCGAACATGGCGATATGTTCGCCTTTTTCATCCACAGGGTCGCTGTCATAATGATATAGGTCGTATTCCTTTAGGTCATCATCATATGGTGTCGACTTTCATGCCATCGCTGCTACCACACATATGCGTTAGAAACTAAACAACCTCC